TATGATCTATGTACTAAATTTGAGTGAAAACTGACAAAGCATGTCCAAAATACACATTTTCAAAAAACAAGATGGACTGCCAGTCGGCCATCTTTGACCCAATTGTGAAATAAATCGTCATGGACATGTATCTGAATATGTATAATCTATGTACCAAGTTTGAATGAAAACTGACAAAGCATGTCCAAAATAAAACATTTTCAAAAAACAAGATGGCTGCCAGTCGGCCATTTTGAATCAAATCGCTAAACCACTGCCTGTGCACATGTCCCACATAAAGTACTAGGCACATGCAAAGATTCTGGGATACGACTCTGAACGGACGCACAGACTGAGACCGAATTATAAGTCCCCGTTTACGGACTTCGTCTGAACGGGGACTAATAATACTACAGGATTTAAAAATTAACGCCCAGTTAATATCTAGCTATTTATCTATCATTTTATGACCAGTCAGTCCAGTTCTAAATCAAATTATTGATTCAGTTTCGATCTTGTTTAACAGAATGCTAGAGGCTGCCACGAATAACTTTTACATGATTGGTACATGTTATGGAAGAGATTTGGATTATACAACTGGGTGAACTGAGAGTGAAATTGTTTGAAGATTGGCTGAATTGGTTATGCCTGTGTGCTAAATCAGTCAAATTATTATTTCAACCTAATTTGCAAAAATAAAGTAATTCACAGTAGTAAAAATAAAATCCTTGCACCAAAACAAACATTCAGGTTTTAATGTTGGCCAATGAGATGCGATTTCTAAAAAAGCATATATAGTAGTTATTACATTACCGGTAAGTGCACATTTCTGAAAGTGAATTGACACTTGAGACAGTCAACTAAGCATCACTGGGAATACACTTTGAAGAATTTGTGTAATTCTATGGCAATCACAGATTGAAAAGTGTGCTGAATATTAGATTAGTAGTCCTCACAAAACTACACACATCTTGTTACACATATATACAAATCACTGTCAATAGTTGTGTTCACGTTACACGAAGTACGGGCTAAGATTTAAGCTGATTTAGGCTTATCTAGCATATTTGCATTTTGGCTAGACCCAATTGCGTCCACGCACAGGGAGGGCCAGTCGTTAGCACGGGCTAAAGGGTGCCATCAGTCGGTGACCTTTGGTAAGCCGCTATTTACGAACGAAAAATGGATGACACGCGCGAGGTTCTATTTCTGCTGCTGGCATGTTTCGTTCTAAATTTGAAGCGACGTGCACAGGAACGCGAGAGAAGACAGACCCAACTTATTTGGATGCACATAAACAGTATACAACGGTCGTAACAGAATAGAGTGTTATTAATGCATGTCGTAGACAGCGAACCAAATTTATTTTGTCTACGATTGGAGCTGCTGTACGCTCTACTACTAGAGTGACCCGATTGGTGTGGAAGCGAGCGCGGAGTAATGACTGGTGGAATAGTGTCGTTATACGAACATGGGACAATTTTCACACCCAAAGGTCGCCGCAGAGGGCGCTTAGCCCTGGGCTAAGCGTTCGCGCATACTTCGTTAGCCCGTGCCAAGGTCTAGACCGCGTCTTAAATTCGGATCAGATTTAACCCGTACTTAACATTCCTTAGCCCGTGCTAAGCGTTCACGCACGTTTTCTTGGCACGGGCTAAGGAATTTGACCTCTTAGCCCATGCTAAGGAGCTGTGCGTGAATGCAACTAATATGGCACCATATATTGATATTTGCATTAGTCTATGTTGATTTGAAATTTCAATATCCCAGATTATGGAAACGCTTATTTTAATTAATTAAAGGCACTTATGACTGCAGCTAAATTTCATCACTAATTCTGTAAGCAGGTTTAGACCCACAGCATCATTCAGTGATTGAAACATACCAATGGCACTGTACAATTTTTACATGATGTTATTAAAACTACTGAATATTATTATTATTTAAACATCTGATTTCAATTTCAATTTGATATTAATGTGCAATTCCGTTTGTCCGTCTGTTGCACTTATAGTGCTACATACTTTGAGTAACATGCAAAACATGTTACACAATTAATTTACTAACACTGTGCTACCATGTATGTGCAGTCAAGTGAATATAACAAAGTGAATGAAGGAGTCAGACTTGTAAGATAGATGATGGTAATTATGCCACTGATATTTTATAATGTCTGTCTGTTATATTATTAACTTGTCTGCATTGGATGCAGACTACAGAGTTTGAACTATGGTTATTCTGAGGGAAACCTAAAATTTATGAAATGCTCTAAATTAGGAAAGAAAGAAAATTTCCTGAGTACTCTGAAGAGCATCTAGGCCTCAATTTCTAGCTCTTATCCACTCTTCAAAAATACTAAAGTTTAATATTCAGGAAAAAATTTTGAAGTGAAATTAAACGTTTTTGTTTTTTGGACAAGAGTCATGTTTTGTAATCTAGGCTTAAAATTGTGAACATTTAATGGTGTCAAAGTTGATTCTAATAAAATTTTGATAACACAAGTTTACATTTTTAACAATTTCATCAAATATAAATATTTCATAAGATAAATTTTGACCACTCAATAAAACCCCAGTGAATGTAGCTGTTACACAGCATGGTTATTAATATGTCAACTACCTACATTTAAATGTTGTAATTTAAGAGATGATCAATCACTTTTATCCTAATCAATGAATAGATGATGGTAATTTATCAGACCCCCAAAAAAATTTCATCCACGATACAAGGCAACAAAACCTTTAATCTTCTGCAATTGACGAATACGAGAGTCAAATATATAGGACAAGCACTAAATGTACAACAAAAAGGTTTTAATCTATCTCTATTATGTTCACAAGTGACCTACTTTTTTGAATGAATATTTTGAAAACACAGGATATTGAGAATCCCCTCCACTATGATTGAAGCAATCAAAATATACATGCAATGAATAAAGCAATAACTGACTAAATTCATTTTGATGAATGAGTGGAATTAATAGGAATGGAGTTCAGGACAAATGTGTTTTTCACATCAAATGAATGCAGCTTGGCACTTGCCACTGTACAATTGAAAATCAATTTTTCAGGAATTTTTCAGGAATTTGACAAATATTTTTGTTTAAAAAACAAACAAATGGCCACCAAGAAAACATAATTATGTGCATCAAAGTTCATATCATGATCGACGTTGGTACCAAGTATGAATGAAATTTATTCAGGCATGACAGATTGATTGGTTCTGGAATGGCGGAAATGCTTGATTTCAAAGAATTGTTAGCACTAAAATTGACCTTGATTGACCAACTTGTATCAGATCACAAAAAAAATGTGTATATATATTCCAAGATGTACAGATGCGTGTGTGAAGTTTAAAATATGATCTGTCAAGGCATGTCAGTGATACAGGTGTGGATGAACAAATGGACAAACCACAAGTTCAAGTTTACAAATTTCATCCAACAGGGACTGATGAAGCATTCTATAGTTTTATTATGTTTCTACTTTCTATAATTTTATTACCATAAAATCTTTAATGTGGCGTCACTCTAATTTAGGCGTCAAAGAAGAGTGAAAGGCCTTTAATTTGGTTCTAAAGTAGTTGTCACGAAATGTTGAAAAACTAGTCAATCAAAAAACATGTTTGTATTTTCAAAAAAAATACTTAGTATATTTAATGTAACATGCAGTATTAAGTATAGCCTAAAAGAAGTTTCCAATAATGATCAACATTTGGGTAGCACAACCCAGTTATGTGCTGTTTCACAAGGGAATAACTTATTTGCTTTCAAAATGTTGCAATTGTTGATTATTACTCAGTGGTGATTATAATAACGTACAAAACATAAATTCGATGGATTGTTATGAAATGCAAATAAAATTCAACTTAGTTTCCTCGCAAGCAAACGTTTTTAGTCGCATACCAACGCTTGATGAGAGAGAAAACCAGCCTTTTTCCTTATACAAAGCTGACCTGAAACTGTTCTTTGACCTCATACGTCAAGTCACTAATTAACCAATCAAAAAAGTGTATGGTGCCAACATGGGTCAAATTTTCCAAAGACAAACTAAGTTTAAGAAGAATTTTATACTTTATATGGTGATAACAGCTCAATGTCGAAACTAAGTTTACCCATTCACACGAGCCACAATAAACATTGTATTTTTGAATAGGGGTCAATCAGGAAAGATTGAAATGTTCGATAAATGACTCCTAAATTAGAGATTTTACGATACAGAATATTTTAAATGACTACCTTCTCTCCTCACACTGGTTATTGATATAGGCCATTAGTTTAAATAGGAGCTTGGGTGTATACTTAAATATTGATGTGCTCAAAGATCACAGCATTCTGAGTATTATGGTTGGGCTTCCACAAACTCTTCACCAGTCACTAATGGTGAATAAATTGTGTCTCTCATCCCTAATTTCAAACCATGAATTATATTCTGCAAAAAATGGCATTTTAAAGCAGGTGCCAGAAATGTAAATCAAAACAAAAGGGAAATGTATTGCTTGGTGTATTTCAATTTCTTGCACAAATCATGAGTTTTTTAAGTTCTCCTGAAGCGTCAAGTTAGTTGGCTGAACAAGTTTGGAATTGACAATGCTGGCGAAGTGGTTTTAACTATTTTATCATTACCATAAGCCAAGAATTTATTACAGATCAATTGATAATAATGAAACAGTACATGTTAAAGTTAATTATTCGTTAAACTTTATTTGATGGTCTGAATATGAATGAATTGTGGAAAATATAACACTAGTAAATGTGCATATTTTTGATTTTCAGTGTGCTAGAATATATTAGTGACTATTGTGGCTTCTTGATTATGGGATTTTATTTCGTTTGCTAACACTTTGAATAATAATTCACAAATTTGGGTCCTTAAATATATCTCACAATTTCCTTTGGGAATTTCAGAAACATTCATTATAATTTTGTCTTTAAGCACAATACTGGAAATCACTGGCAATACAAACTATGTTGGAAGGACATAGGGTTATCACATGACAAATAAAACCCATGTTAGGTAGAATGGCAGATTTTGTGTTGCAATAATTAAGCATGCAGAACATTAGATAGCGTTGGTGCCCCACCCAACATTCAAAAATAACCACTTACCAGACTCTGCCGTAAATTCACCCATCCGAAAAACCGCGCTGGTGGGCCCTTATTTGGGGTTAAAAATTTCAAAAAAAGATCAAATATTTTTGGGGGCTTATATTTTCATTGAAAAATCCACCTATGCCGATTTTCAATGCCGGCAGTTGGACTACCCAAAACGAAAGAAACTATTGCAGAAGCTAATTAAAAAAATTTTACATTTTTTTTCTTGGTGGATTAAGAAGTAGACCGCGCATCTTTCTCCAAAAAATCACATTAACCTCGTGTAGTAGCGAAAGTTTATTCTAAAAGAGGTTTCAAATAAAAACAATCATAACTGCATTGCTTATCGCAGCAGCGCAATCCGGTCATGTGATGTTTCACAATTGTTGAAAATTACCTAGGAATGATTATAATAACATGCAAAAAATAAATTCGTTGAATTGTTATGAAATGCAAATAAACTTTTTTCATCGTAAGTGAACGATTCTGATCGCATTTTCAACACTCGATGCTGTAGAAATGAATATCAGCCATGTTTTGACCTGACAAATCCCTAATTAACCAATACAAAAGATGGATGATGCAAACATGTTCAAATTACCATAACTCATTTAAATATGTTAATGTTATTGAACAAAGCATGGAAGGGATTTGCCGATGTTGTACGATCTTTTGGCTTGGATTTTGATGGGAAAGCGGCATGACTTCTTTTTAAATAAAAAAATTAGTTGTTTTTAGAAGATAAACTGAGCATTTATAGAATTTAACATTGTTCATAGTGATAATAGCTCATTGTCAAAACGAAGCATAATAAACATCAATATTCTTGACTACGACGAAACTTTTAGGCATCAGGAAGGTTAAAATAACACCTTAAAAAACTGCTGATCTCTTGGTCACATTTTATTTTTTTAAAAACCTGAACTGTCGTTTAACGGTCCAAGACGAGTTTACAGCAGAATACGTAACTACCTTTCTTATTTCAGCTAGCCTTTTTAGAGAATTTGACAATGAAATTTCCTGCCATATTTAGAATATACATTGATTAAACTAAATTATTAGGTTGATAAGCTTATTATAACTTTGGAAAAAGCTAATAAATGTGAACAAAGACAGTGACCATTCTGGATTAAAGTATAGGTGTACCCCTAGGACACTATTGCAGTGTATGTGTGTATGTATTAGTGGTATTTCACTGGCTACGCCACGAGGACGTCTATCACCCATCCACAGTTGGAGTAGAGTCAAGCTCAACAGGGGTGGGTATATATTAGATATTTATTGTCTTTTCCTTTTTATTGCAATGTTTGCAATAACTTAGGGTCTAAAATAAGAAATTTCATCCATCCATCGACAACCTGAGTAAGAGGTGGGTGGTGATTAATTTGTGTTGTAAAACAATTGTTCCGAGTTCAATCTTTTTTTTTCATACATATCAGAGAAGGTTGTAAAGAAGTAACATACTAGGTACAGTTGTTAGCTTTATGAAATTAGTAAGAAAAAAATGTTACAGAGAATTACAGCATTTTTTATACTTGACATTAACAATGGATTGGTGGTTGAATAGCAAAGAGAAATTATCAATATTATAACTATTGAAGGGCCATGTTAGTTTTCCATGCATTATCAAGTTTGTAAATACCAATAGGAAATTTGTGATACAAAATAAATATTTATGCACAGGTAAATACCCGAAGAGATGGAAGAATCATATCCAGTTATCTGCACTCAATTAGCATAGTTCATGAGATGCAATTAAATATGTGTTCATAAAACAAATTGATTAGATAAGTCTCAAGGTACAAGGAACTGATCTCCAAGGAAGGCATGTTTTAAAGGTTACATATCCCATCAGTACACAATATTTGGTCAAATTAAGCTAGAAATGATGTGCAGTAGCGGCTGTAAAAGTAACCAGAGTCTATGTACATCTGATAGTGTTTGAATGTACATTTGTTATATGAATACAATTGTGATAAATAAAGAATGTAGTATGAAAGGTCAGAGGTTGTCTTACCGTTGCATACACGTTTTCATATACCGTATTTGCTCTATTAGGAGCTCGTGTTTGACAGGTGTGTTGTATGGTCAAAATAAACCTTTAACTAATCCTGTACATATGAAATTTATTTTAATAGAGTAAATACAGTAATGATGTAAACACTTACAATGATGTGCATCACGTTGATGATCATATAACCTTTTTTAAATTTAAACCCAACTAAAATGAAACCACCAAACTTACCTTGAGGGAATGAGAGAACCGGATGAAAAGAATAGTCTAATAAAGAAACTTTTTCACTGAGAGGCATAACATCTGGATCTGAAGTCTGTGTATTATTGTATCTTCCACTGCACATAACGCACGGTGTAACAGGCACGCAACATCCACACCGCACTGAAGATAATTTTTGGGCTTTCCGACTCACTTGGTGGAGTCCAAGTGAGCGCAGAAGCTTACGTTTTCTAAAATTTCGTATTGGTCTCGTCCTTGCTGCAGTTGAACCACAATCAGACACTGTTGCAGGACTTGATCTGTCGGGTTCCAAACGCAAACGTTTACTCGCCGAATCCATGCAATTGCTATCCTGTGAATCCTGACTGTCGTTCAATAATTGATTTCCATGGGAGGCTGTGTTATCCACAAATCCATTCATGGGTGCCGGTGACTGTAATTTCCCTTGTACTGTCGTGTTAACTAATGGTGATCGAGGCAAACCCTTCTGCACCGGTGAATAGAAGTTCTGAAGAGACTGATTAATTTTGGCAGTCTGCTTGTCAACGTTACTCATTAATGTAGACAAGTTGGACGGTGACATGTCATTTCGACTTTCCAATTTAGCTATCTTTGCTTCTATCGGTGACAACTTTCTGCCAACAAGTCGACTAGTTCTAAGTTTCATAAGATCTTCAGGTGGAGACTGTTCTCCAAGTGATATCACTCCTTTTGTAGCTCGTATCTGCCTATAGATATCAGTCTGTTGTCTAATGCGATACTCCAAATCAGAAACTTGGGCCTGAAGCCATGTCCATCTACATGCCACTGATGCTCTGTCCATGGCCCACTTCCATAGTGCTCTTCTATGGCTGAAAGATCAATACATGCACATCACTTAGTTCACTAGGAAAATCAATCATTCAACACTTAATCCAGGAAGCAATTACAAAGCCAAGTATCTGTAACCATATCAAATTTTATCAAGGATTGAAGCTATTTTTATAAACTCATAAAAATATTACTTCAAAACAACTTGTGCAAATCAACTAATTTACATTCAGTAATACATTGCATTTTAACAGACCAATTTGCTCAAATATGATCAATTTTGTTTTAACGAATAATTGTAAAACTATAATTATAGTCAGTGTCAATGTCATGGTCCTTGTTTGTATTTGTATTGTAGACCTGTGTGTAAACCAAGAAAACCATGGTTTCCTGGCTGTATCAAATGCCCTATGATGAATGATGTTGTGCATGTATTATCCCAAGGAATGTAATGGAAACTGGAAACTTTCATTATGAAAATTAGTTCAAATTTGTGATGGTGAAAGTCACCAGAAAGTCATTTTCTTGATTGGCTCATGTAGCACACAGACCTAAATAAAGCTATAAAACAATGCTGCACCATTCAAACAATGCATGAATATAATCAAGAAACCTGGTCATGATCTGTCAAATAAATATCACTATCACAAATGTTGACAGACCTTTTCAACCATACAAATCGTAAATTTACTCAAAATTGACATTTTCAAAGATGCTTGACTCATTGTCAATGTGGAACCTAGTTTAGCGACTACACTTTTTTTTTTAAACAGCAATGTACAAATTTAAGAAATCAGATCTATTTAATGATGGCCAAATGTAGTACATATAAATGCATCACATGACCACAGTAGTATAATATACAACCATTAGTGTGCATTAAGGCAAACTTAAAGAGAATTTCAAATCCCAGTCATACACATTGACAGTGATAAACTGTCAGCAAACTATTCATTCTTTTGTACATTTTTTTCTATGACAACCTAGTTGAAAAATAAATCAGGGAGTTGAATAAATCAGAGAGACTTTCTTCAATATGTGTAAATACAAATAATCTTAATCTAGACATGGGGAATAAAACAAGCCATGCATGGCACAGTCCCTGTTAGTTATCAAATTTAAGATATATAGTTTTGTTTATACAATGTAGTAATATAGCTGGAACATAAACATGTCAGAAATATGATTATGATGATTGTTTAACATTAAAATTATTGACATTTGTATCTGATCATCAAACGCGTATTGAGAGATATTGCTCTGGAACAGCATGAATTAAAACAAAATCAGCCATTTTGAATATGTGTATAATGAATATATAAAATTTGAATATAATCAGTAAAAGCATTTAAGAAATATAGCTCTAGAAGCCCATTCATTAAAACAAAATGGCCGCAAGTCAGCCATTCTGAATCAGATCTGAAAAACAAAGTGACATGCATCAGAAACCCGTAATGTCTAATGTATGTACCAAGTTTGAACAAAATCCATCCATAAATGCCAGAAATGCTTGCTATTTGATGATTTTTTAGCACAAAAATGGCCACCATTCAGCCATTTTTAATAGCATCGGCAAACCAATATATATGTATATTTATGACATGATGTAAAATGAATATTTAAAATTTGAACATAATCAGTCAAAGCAAGTCAGAAATATAGCACTAGAACCACATTCATTAAAACAAAATGACCGCCAGTCAGCCATTTTAAATCTTATCTGAAGAACAAAATGATGTGCATCAAGGTCTTATAATGTCCAACGTATATACCAAGTTTGAACAAAATCATGTAAACAGCCAAGAAATGCTTGATTTTGATGATTTTTAGCACAAAAATGGCCGCCATTTGGCCATCTTGAATCAGATCGTGCAACAAATTGACGTGCATATGTATAATATCATGCATGATGTGTGTGTGAAGTTTGGTTGTGATTGGTCCAGGCATTTCTAAGTTACAAGTCCAGACGCACGGAGGTCAAAACAGGGACCAACAATTCAAGGTATGTGGTCGACACAGAATTTTATTTACAAGTTGACCATGTAAAAAAGATGAATATTAATTTTTTTTTTAAATGTTTTTGTGCCAGGCGACATTGAGTGTCACTGTAAGTGCAAATTGCAAGTGTTAGTGCTGACTCATAGTGCACTTTTTTGCCACTGAAGTCATAATCATGTTTGGGACTACATGACAGGGCTGTGTGCGCTATCCTGGCATCAGCCAGGTTCTGTCGAACACAATCACCCAAAGTCACATTCATTAGTGAATGAATCTCGACCAGTGGAATTGGCCTCCCCATCGAGTCTGTGGCACACTCACCCAGGGTAGGGGTCGACTCCTTTAATGTTAATGTTCAGCCTAAGGTAGGATTTGAACTTGGGTCTACCAATCATGAGTCTGATGCGATAACAACTATGCTACAATTGACCGATGATGAATATTAATTGACAACTACGACATTAAAACACTTTAAAAATTGAGTAGCCCCAAGAGTTTCAATCAATGTCTATTGATTAGGTGTAAGGAATATTTTTCTTTTTTCACAACACTAGGAATTTTTTAAATTTTATATGTAATTATTCAAATAAACATTTAAATGTTTTGTGAATTTATGCAAATTAGCAATGGATAATAAATATATGGTTGATAAGATATTAAACGTACTCTTGAAATAGACATATTTTGTTAACCTGTTTCCATGAAAAGTATTCTTCTACAGAGCATGTCATGATACTTTGTGTTTAATTTTACAAGCAACAGCTGCTTCATCTATTCTGACAACTGAATTATGGTGACAAATAGATAATTAAAACATGTTATGAATACCCTATTCACATTAAATTATGCAATAATTTCAATATTAACCAAAATGTTCAGTAATTTAATGTTTATATTTCAGAAATTTGACAAATGACATAGCTGCTTATATTATTCAATCAGCATGAGAAAGGTTGTCTTGGTTTAGTTTAGTTTATTGAAATACTAAGTAGAAGGAATTAAAAAGGTCACACTAACTGCTAAAACACGTATATAAAACATACAAATTTTACAAAAATTACTACCTAAAGCAATAGTATCACGGCTTACATTATTTTATTTCTAGTCAGAGACAAAGTACATTTACTTCATTTTTTATATTTAACTATATAAATTTATAGTAAAAGAACTCCCATCTGAAACAATGTTTTTTTTTGTTCTGTAGTGCAAAATTCACATTCAGCACTGTGTACAAGGATAGATAATCAGTGTACAATGTAAACCAGCTGTGACTGCGATACATTGTAACTGAAACTGCTGGATAAAGGTAACAATGGCACTTACCAAGAAATAACATTTCTCCCAGCAATAAAACAAGTAATAGTTCCAATAGAACAATAACATTTGCCAAGAGGAAAAGAGGAATGCAAATGGTCATAAAATATTGCATCCATATATAAAGCCAAGTAGTAATGGTATAGGATTATGACCAGTGTACATTGCAAACTACTTTTAATTAAACACACCAGCTGTTATGCTAGGGTACATGTATCACAATAACCAATAGAAGGTCATCCCAAGTACACACAAGAGTATGACAGGTATTTGGGGAGGATGATTACTTCCCACACAATTCTTTAACGAAATGTCATTTCACACAAACATGTACCTAATCACACATACAGGGGCATGTCCCAAAGCACAAGCCAAGCCTAGCCTAGCCTAGCCTAGCCTAGCATTGCCTTTTTGAAAATGGCTTGTGAGTGATAACTTTTATAAAAGCAATGAGGCGAGTTATGGGAGTGATTTCAAATAATTATGCACGTGTAAAAATACTTTTTTTTAAAGTAATCTCGCACAGCATTTTTCATTCATATTAAAGAAAAGGTCTGACAAGCGAATAATTGTGACACTTCCACACTAGAGACTGTATCAGCTTCCAAATTCCGCAAACTGATTCATTATGCCTAGCCTTATGCAAGGTATTACATAAATTACACTCTTGAACCCTGCCAGTTCAATAACCTACACAGCAATCAAGGTCAAACATATAAAGGCTTTTGAAGGCTACAGAAATAGATTTATTCTTAAACTGCAATAGTGGGATGGCAATTAGAGATCACACTAATGAGCAAAATAAAATACATAAGCTTAAGGGTGTAGAAGACTTTCGAAGAAAATTAAGAAGTCAAGATTAAGAGGTCAGAGAATACATCGTTTAATTAAATGCTTGAATATTCAGACAAACTTGTGTAATTTCTTTTAAAAATCTTATTATACACGAATCAATTCAGCATACTGGGAATTCACATGATTCCAAGGTACTTAATAATTTTCATATTCATCTTATTTTGAACACCAAATCAACCTAGACATTAATTAGTGAAGTGATCAAATGAGATAATTCTCCTATTTTCTTGCAATGTGCATGGTTTCCACACATTGAAATTCTTGGTTTTTAAACAGGTTGAATGATGCCCCTTTTCCACATCATCATTTTTTTTTATAGGGCAGCAAGGTCAAATGAAACAAGCAGCCTCTCGAATGAGATAGCTCCTGAACTGAAGATATCATTAGAAAAGGAACAAATCTGATAGAGGTTTACCCGAGGTATCTATGTGTATAGTATCAAAGCAATCGGACACGAGGCTTACAAGAAGTCACAAATTTCACTTTTTAGCAAAAACAAAAGAAATATTCATCAAAATTAGAGAATTGAAGATATCATTACAAAATAAACAAATCTGAGAGAGGCCACCTGAAGTGCCTTTTGGTATAGTATCAAAGCAATCTAACGTTTTACCTTAAGAATTAATGTTGCAAATATGAAAGAATTTGGTTTAATGGTTTTGAAGAAAACTACAAAAATGTAAAAAGTTGACTACAGACTGACAATCAGTTATATTTTATATTGAAAAATACTCTCATAACAGTATGGGCCAAGCAGCACTGAAATTATAAATTGAGAATAATTAAATAATTTTCATAAAACAAAAATTTATGATAAAATATAAATAGTTAATACTAATAGTACAACATTTAATTAAGATGAAAACAAATTCAA